CAGCCACTGAGGAGCACATATTGATGGAATGGTGCTTTGCTGTGCTGTAGACTCAGAGCAGATGGATTTCCCAAAATATACACACACATAAATGAAAAGGAAAAATGACATTGTATGTTAATGAGGAACTAATTACACTGCAAATAGTGTTTTGAAGCCATGTATCTGCCACTTGTAAACAAGACAGCTCACTGATCCAAAGCACTTAAGACAATGCAGCAACAGCTTTTATCTCTGAAGAGGTGGGACCAGAGTTGTGACAGCACTGCTATAAAATCTGTAATCTAGAAATTAAACCAGATATTGCAGTGCATGTTCAGATTCAGGAAAGGCTCACATTCCTTTATGGATAGTAAGACTCTTACTATGGAAGTTTTTATTTTTAAAGACACACATCCTCCTACTTCAGCATGCAGATTAATCTCTTCCTTCAAGTGCAAGTAAGCCAGACTGAGTGAGACTGTAGTACACAAAGCATTTTTTTGGACAAGTGGCCCCCAGATATAATCCCTTCCTAAACCCATCTGCACGTGTAAGATTGTACTCTGATTACCCTGATGAGAATGGTCTTCCCAGGAAGGGCCAGGCAGCTATCACAGGCTGCTGGAGCAATTTATACACTTTTTCTTATCAGCATCCTGAGCAGCCCGCTCTGCCTAGATAAGGAGTTTGATGCTAAATTCAGCCTTCCTGTCTCTGGTAACTGCTTCCCCCTTCCTGTGAATGCTGTTTACATCAGGGCAGTCAGGACACGGAATTCCAAGCACACTCAGACTGCTGACTATCCCAAAGCTCCTAGCTGGAAGGTGTGTGCTCACTATTTAAAGGCAATATGGCTTGCCTTTAAACAGAGATTGAAAAATTCTATGAATACATCATAAATATCCCAATCACCATTCAAGAGTGAACAGTTTTTCCCCTTTGCAGACAATCACATTTTCTAAGCAGAGGAATTTACGGTACTAAGGAGCTAGAATATTATGTGCTGGTTTGACTGCTGTGAAAATGCCTTTCCTCCTTTCTGCCTCCCAGTTCTTTAGCAAAATGTTCTGAAGCTGCAAGGGTTTCAGTTTCACTAAACTCTCTTAAAAAACTTCAATATCTTCTGCTTATATTTGAATAACGGCTTTTAACCACTGTCTAAGAGGGTTTTACAAACCCTGAATATCTTAGCTCTTATATCTAAATATAATATCTATGTTAGCTATTATCTCTAAAGCCTAACAACAGGAAACAGGTTTTAAAAAGCGACAGGAAACCCTTAAAAAGGGAATTGGTGGGGGGGTGGATTCACCCCCATCTTCGGGGCCAGCCTGTGGAATTGCAATCATAAAAGATTCCTAGAAAGGACACCTCCCATGTGAAGTTTTGTCCTTGCTTTTGACAAATGGACATTTGATCTTCTCCCTGCAGCATGGTAGTTTTATTTCTTTCACTTACGTGTGTCTTTAGTTTAGAAGCAAACAAAAACCAATGGCTTATTTCTTATCTGAAAAAAAATGTTTTATCAAAATATATATGAAACCTCTCACAGTGTGCTACTCAGCCTTGCTTGTTCCTTTCTGCTCTATTAAATTTTTAATTCAATTTTTTCTCCTATTAGAAGAAATCCAGTAAGTAAAGAATGAAGTGACACAGAGGTCACTCACCTATGGTGTAACTAGGCTAAATTTAGATCATACTCCCTATTTTAAGAATAAAATAATTAAACTTTAGTTTCACGGTTTAGGTATGTTTGTGCTTCTAGTTAAAAGCACCTTGTCACTTCTTCACTTCTGCAGAAACAGACATAACTGTTTCTTCACTGGTTATTTGAAATAATGTTTATTTCCATGCACTTTAAGTCTGCTTTGTACACTTACTGTACTGGACTTCCAAAGAACCAGAAGAGAGTTCAGAGTGAGACTTCACTAACCTCAGCAGTGGTTCATGGATGATGGACTGCAGGATGCAGGTCTTTGGATGATTCTCATGCTGTATCTCAGACTGCTCTGCAGCATTTCTGGTTTACATTGCTTTCCTACATAGACAGGAACAACTTTTTTTTTGCATTTAAATTTTGAACTTTTAGTATTTCCTTTTAAAGAGCTGTCACCTTGGGTGATGTGCTACATAAATTTTATATTGAATATTAGAAGATCCTAACATATGCAAACTCTACTTGCCAAAATTATTTAACATTTTCAGGGAAAATTAATTTGAGCAGGGTGAAAAAATAATGAGGGAGTTCAGGTTTTCTACTGATGTTATTAGAAGATAAACATATGCAAATATACCTATGTATAGACATAGAGAGTTTTTAATGCTTCTTTACATGCCAGTTAAAAATTTAATCTACTTCAGTATTGGTCAAGGACCACTTGAAGACCATTTGGATGAATTCACACAAAAATCAATTGGAATTCCTACAGATCTGGCTATCCCACTTACAATGACACAAGTAGGAGACAAATGCAAGCCTTGGTCTGTTGAATGTAAACCCCTATTACAGAAAAAAATAGGAGTATAAACAAGTGAAGCAGAAGCCTGAACTGTAACTCTCAGCGGTGCTGCTCTGCCCTCTGCAGACTGGACTGAATAATCACATATCAACCCTAATCACATACTTCTAACTCAACAGAAAAAGAAGTTATCAAAGTGAATGAAACACACATGAACATCACTGTGATGCTGCAGGTCCTAAATAAGTCAGGAGTACTCCTGAGGCAGTGACTGAGTATCCTCACTGTGTCCACACTGCCAATTAAGTTGGGGAAATAATTATTGACTGAATAGCACCCATGCCTGGAATCCAAATTCAGAATGAGGTACAGGAAGTATTTATGTTTGTTACTCCAATGTAAGCCACATGGCATTTCTGGATGGTGGAGAAACAAGTTCCAACTTCCACATGCAGAGCAGCTCCTCCCTGGTACCAAGAAGGGTTTCCTACAGCAAGACCTGGGGCATGTGGACCACAGCCAATGCATGACTGATACACCAGGCTACCAGCACCCCACTCTGCAAGTTGTTTAGCTATCTGACACTCTGCCTCCACCTTCTATCATCCAAGAAATGTGGCAAATGCATTCACCTTTATGACCTCTCTATAATTTCATGTGCTCTCCTTGTGTTAGCTAGTAAAGAATGTTAAAGTTTCTTTAATTCTCCTCTATTTGCTGCATCCCCACTGATGTGAGAAAACACAGCACAGTACTTATTGCTTCTTATGAGCTGGACAATGCTTTTGAACTAAGGCCATGTCATAAGACTTCTGACAAAAACCATCATTTTTATAAGGCTTCTCTTGGATAGGAACAGTACACAAGAACTCATACAACACACAATTCAGATTACTTCCAACTTCTCTGCTGACAAATCAATCAAATCAAATCAATCAAATCAAATTTTCAAATGCTGACATTTGAAAAACTTCTTCAAAGCACACAAGCCAAACTCTAGATATCAGATGTAGCACTCACAAATGAGCAGCACCTGATGTTCCTTTACTCCACCTGCCTGCAGTTATCAGGTGTCACACTACAGACAGAATGTCAGGTCTTCTGAAAAAAGAGCCTGGCAGGAAGAAAAATTTGTGTACACAGCTCCCAACATAGCACTTCTTGTATTGTGTGACTTCCACATGTGCTGGTTACATGACCCACAGACTCACATGTCAGGAAACAAGAGAAGTGGCACTCTTTCAGCAAGTGGCAGCATTTGCAGAATATCTTCAGTACAAAACTAAAATAGGTGTTTGCACAAAAAAAATATCTTTATTTGATATAATACAGTGCAGAGCTTGCAATATGTAATGTTATTGTGCTTCTGTAAGTGAACTTTAACGGCAGGTGAATTCTGAATAATGACTCTTCTGAGCTATATTCACCCTCCACAGTTTGCAGGTAAAACAAGTGAAAGGTAAGTCACAGCAGCATATTAAAATTTGATGGAATCTCATTTTGTCATCCTTCATTGCTTGTGTTTTTTTGAGGGATCTGTTGCAGACTAATGAGACAGGCTAGAAAATTTCCAAGCACATCAGTAAGCAAAATTAAAGTCTTAAATTTTCATCTTGCCCATTTCACAAATGGAAATGGTATTATTATTCCAAAGCAAAAAACTGGAGGAAAACAGTGGTCATGTTTATACTAAGCAACACTGTTCTCCAGTACTTCCATTTGACAACAGCTGAATTGCATTCTTAAACAGAATTCTTTACATATTCTTAAATAGAATTCTCTACATAATCCCTGCTATCTCAGATAACTGACACAGAAATATCACTTAGGGTTTGGGTTACATCTTGAGGACCTTGTACAATCTGACAATACCTTCATCAAACGTACATTCAAGCTCTAGTTTTACCTTTCTTTACATTCTTTTCATCTGAGGTGGTTTGGAGGGATTTGTAACATGTAAACGAAGAAAGCAAAGCAAACGAAAGCAAATCTTAATACTGCTCCTCCTTCCAATAAAATAATTGTACCTAATGATGCAGCAATTATTCTCAAATCTACAAATATGATAAATTCTGAAAACCTGAACCAGAAGTACTATTCTGTACCTGTTTACAACTTCCCTTGGACAAAAAGCTGTCACATCCCACCACTCTGACCAAGGCCAGAAACAAGTTAATTACACTTGAATAAACCTGATTATTTCAGGGGAGTGTTCAGGGTATAGGAGACATGCTCCCTTTCCTAGTCACATAAGACTTGGTCTCATGAACTGAGATGGGAATTAGGATTTCCCTCATTTCTGGCTCACAGGTTGCAAGGCCTTGTTGCTTGTTTCTACACTGTGGCACAAGTTCCAGTACAATTCTAGTCAAGACACCCTGTGGAACTACTTGGTCATGAGTTTCAAACAGCCTTGGAACAGAAAAGCCAAGGCAACTCAGCACTTTTTGAAATGCATTCTTCAAGAAGAATGGAAAGCAGGTTTCTTCTTCCCCAGAGCTTGCTACCTACCTCTGGGCTCTTCTCTTATTCTTAGCACTGATGTTCTCCAGGCACGAAAGTTGCCTGGGCCCACCTGAAAAACACCCTGGAATACTCACAGTGTACACCCCAGGGTTGTATCTTCACAAAGGACAGAAAGACAAGCAGAGCTCTTTTAGGAGCTGAGACTGAGCAGTAGTCAACTGGTCTCTGGTCCTGAAACTGCAGTTTTGGACTCTAGCAGTTGAAACTTCAGCCCAAAATACCAAATTCACTGAAAACAACACATGACCCTAAATATGTCTACACCATCAAGCCAAGTAGTACCTCTCCAAAGCCAAGTCACCCCTGACTCTCCAGCAAGGCTGCATGGGCCCTGGAAGGAGCAGTCTGGAGCACTGAGGAAGCACTGCCAGACTTCCCAGGCACACTGCTGGGCTCTGCAGGCTCTGAAACAAGCACCCATGGAAGGACAAGGTGAGCAGGGTGCAGAGTGCATGATGCCTCCAATCACTACTGAGATCTGCTCCTCCAAAGGGTGACAGACACAGGAATCACCTCTGTAAGACCATACAATTGTTTTGGAAAGGCTCAGAAACAGAACAAATATACAGATTAGAACCATGAGCACAACTTCAGAGAAAGGGAAATGGCTCTGTAAAGCCAGAATTGCCCAAAGTAAGTATTTCTGAATTTATCTGTACAGATACACATACTATGCAGCAAAAACACAGACAGACTTCCCATATTGAGACACTTTTCAATGTAGTAAATGACAGGACTGGTTACTCCTTCCTCCCTCTCCCCCTGCAGAAACCTCAAATCTATCTTCTGTGTTATTTATACATAATGAAAAGCAAAAGCTCATGAATGATTGTAAGCAAGACAACTCACCAAACAATGCTACTGAGGGGAGTGTGTTGAAACAGGACAGTTGCACTATCTAAAGACAAAATTTTTTCAAGAGAAGCTGAAGTGAAAGGTAAGTGAAACTGAAAAAAATCTAAACTTGAACAGGAGTGGGGATGTATATTTTCTCACTCTTAAAAGCTTGAGCCTTTTTCCATTGAAAATACTGATAAAAGAGTAACATAGACTTCAGAATCTCTTTAAAACTGAATATTTTAAAATTGCACATTTAATAATTGCACAACAATTTTTTCATTTCTTGTGCAGTGGGGGCTGAAGAGAAGTTCAAGAAATTCACTGTGGTAGAAGTCCTTAGTCAGCACAAGGTGCTCTGAAGAAAGCAGTTGACACTGGAAGAAAATATTCAGCGCCTGCATTTTTGGCTACTGGTGGGTAAAAGTAAGTAAAGTTTTGGGGTGTGCTGAAACCTTTAAGATGAGAGCTGATCCCATAGTAATTTTTTAAGAGACAAACAACCACTTGCTCATTAACAACTATGAGCAAAGCAGAAGAGCAGGATTCACTTCTGTGCAGAAGTTTATGTGCTTGTGTGTCATGGTTGTTTCCCAGACCATCATTTTGAGTCCAGGATTCTGCAGACATGGGAAATAAGGCTCTCTGCTAGATGTGAGGAAGAGTCTCAAGATGCTTTGCCCATGCCCAGGTCTGTTATTTCCCCTTCTTTTCTTTAACACTACTGAGTATGAACTTTAACCTCATTTAGCTTCCAGAAAGCCTCCAAGTTGGTTATTTCTCCTAACAATTCAACTCCCCACACTGCTTGTAAGACAGTTAAATTTTAAAAGAAGTTTTCAGGTTGAAATCTGGGTGTTACAATCTATTTCTAGTTTTAAGTATTCAATTTTCCATCTGATCTCAGAGAACTGCATAGGAAACAAATTGATTTTAAGAGCCACTTCCACACAAGTAGGTATCCTACACAAGAAGACTTCATTCTCCATGTTTACCACAAACCCAGCGAAGCTGCTGCTCTGTTTGAAGGTCAGTTAATTCATCAATGGATCTCCAGCTGCACTGACAAGCATATGCACGTGCTCCTTTCTTCTTTATCATCTTTGCTCTTAGTTTACTGAGCTCAGGCATGTTATTCCTGCCAAAGAAGTGAATTCATCTTAGGACCATGCTGGGCTGTTTTGTTTTTTTTTTAAAGAAAAAATATTCATGAGGCCATTTCAAATCAGAAGACATCTTGACAATTCTGAGTACTGCTGTCATGGATTAATTTAGGGATATGTTTGAATTCTGTTTTGAACACTCCTTTCCTGAGCTGTGTAGTTTCTGTGTTCTCAGATAAACTACAGACTGATGTTTTTGTAAACAATGTTATCTGTTGGGTTTAGATATTTCCAGTCAGCCTCCAGAGAAAGAACTGTGAAGCAAACCAAGCAGAGCTAATTCTTGTGTTAAAAAAATTACCCAAAAATGTATTTATCTTATCAAACTTACTGTAAAAATTGCTATGCATAATGGGTAAAATGATGGAGTTAAATTTTTCATCAGGAACTACTACTCAAGGTGATTGCTAAAGTGACTGAAATGAAATGGCCGTAAAAGGGTAGAATGTACATCAAACCACAAATAATTCCTGTGCAGCCATTAACCATAACAAATGAAAAATCAGCATGTTATGACAAGAACAAGTTTTTTCAAAAAAACCAAGTGAAAGTGTAGCATTTTAGCTATCTCTGCTCTTATGGCCTCCTCCTGGCCACTGGACACTGAATTGCTCAAAAACAACATTAACAAGCCCAATTAAATAACAAAAACTCAAAACAAGTATCAAGGGAAGAATTTTTAGAAAAAGAGATCAGACACCTATCGATGGAAGGAAATGTTTAACCTCAAAGTTTGCTTTCTAAAATTCAGGTTTGTCAAAATTAACAGTTAAATCTCTTGCTACAGATTACAGATTTTAATCAATGTTACAGGTATCTGATACTACTGACGTTCATGTGATTTTCTTCTTTTGTTTCATTTATTAATTTCAAGATCTGAGAAGCAAAATAATCTTGATAAAAAAATCCCACTTTTGTTTAAACCTTTTCCACTACCAAACTAATCTTAGGAAGACTAGTGCAGCATGGTATTTTAAAAACTGCTTTAAATAATGGGAAAAATGATATTCAATAAGAAATACAAATTTTGAGACCAGACGAAAAATAATGGAATAACCAAAGATGAAACACAGGCAAAATAATGGAAAAGGAGCTGGTATCTCCATTAATGTTCTTCTCTGACTGTCACATCACTCTCAAGCACATAACTCTGAACACATCCACCTCTTCCATCAGTTACCAGGCTCACACAGAGGCTTACTAAGAGGAATCCAAATCTGTTATCTATTAGGAACATGCCTACTACACTATCTTTCACCAAGTCTTGGCATAAGCTTCAGAGAAACAGAAAATAAGAACTCCTTACTTTAAAGTCTTCAAAAACTATTTAAAGAATTAAAAATATCACAATACAAGCAGAAAACAAAAATCCACCTCTCAATTTAACCAAAATTTGCTTCAATAAAGAAATCTGTTAAGAAATACAGCTATTTGATTTTCACTGAACGTGACAGCACACCTGATAGTGGAAAAAAGAACATCTGCCTTGAAACCATCACAGTCTGTAAGAGTGCAGTGAGGTGCAAAGCACATGCTGAACAGCCTGTATTCATGTTGCTGACATTGTAGACACCCTGCACTGGTTGGCAGAGTCCAACCCATCACATGGATTACCTGCTTATTTCAGCAATAAGCTGGGCTTTTCATCCATGAAACTTGAATTCTTTTTAAAAGCAGAGGGAGTGTCATAGGAGAAGAGATAGAAATGGATGGAAACAGATTTTGGGAGATGTTGCTTCCCCCTCCCCACAGACTGTCCCACCTGATCCCAAACAGGCAGCATGCAGTGCTAAGGGCTTTTCATCTTTCCTGCTCTTACTGAGCCTAAAAGCATGGCAGCACAGCACCAACACCCACCCCAGACACACCTGAAAAAAAGATAATCACAGGACTGATCCCAGACGTAGTCATTGAAAAGCGACACGCGGAAGTCACAAGCAGTGCAGCGCAGCCGATCACACGCTCTGCACAAAGAAGAACAATCAGAGAAGCTGACTGATACAACATACATCCACCATCAATGGGTCAAAGTACAGCACTCAGAAACACTAGAAGTAATGTCACCTAATCTTAAAGCCTTTACATCTCTGGCATGTTCAGAATTATGGTATGTGATTTAATTATATGTTCATGTATTATTTTTACAGGTTCCTATCCTCACTGGACACATAAAACAAACTGATATTCATTTGATATATTCTCTTTAGTCTTCCTCACTGATACAACACCTGGACAGCATACAAATATGTGCTGAATGCACAATTATTTACTACAAAAAATGCCACATGGAAATGCAGTAATGTTCTAAAGGATGTTGTGGATAAATCATCAAAGTATCTCTTCTGCTGAATTCAGCTGCAATTGCAAAGTGCTCTGACCATTTTCAGTTCAGGTTCTGGGAAATTTCAACCAGCCCAAACACTGATTTAAGTCAAGTACTTGGCATCACACACAAAGATAAAGAGAGGCAGGGAAAATAACACAGCAGCAATTTCCTTCACTACTTGTTACTGATTCTTGGTTTCATGTCTCATTTGCAAGCATTTTTCACCACTTCAAACAAGCAAAAAGCCAGGTGGTCAACAACAGAGGACTGGAAGGGACCAGCTGATTTCAAGTGCAGTTACAGGCAGCCACTTCCTTAGATGACTGTAAGGCTGTCCTGCCCAGTTCAAATGCAGCATTTTGTACCACTACAGAAACACAGCTGTGAATAAAAATAATGATAAAGCAAGTAGCACATATTTTTTTTCAGGTTTCCTACCTTTTTGAAATATTTGTTCCTATCCCAGATGGTGAAAGGCTTCCACCCAGGTACACTGGACAGCATCTATATGGATTAATTAAAAAAAATTGAACAGGTTGGAAAAAGCAGTACAATATTTCTCCTAGTTTAACAGCATGGTATTTATAAAAAAAATATAAACAAAGCATCCAAATGCTTGTAAACTACAGAATTTTACAATTTCCATGATCAAATTATTCAAAGAAAAACTCTACAAAAAACACTCTCTATGCTGAATATACAAAGATCTACATTGCTGCATTTGATAAATGTATATGTCCATAAGGCAAAAGAAGATGTTGTTCAATAGCTGAAATAATTAATAAATTTATAATAAATTATTTGGACCACATAAAAACACATTAACATAATTCTTTGAAATTACCTGCTTATTTTTGTTTTTTCTTTAAAAAGACTGTCTCTCCTCTCAATGTCTTTCTTAAGAAATGCCAACACAGATTAAACAGCAGCAGTATTGTCAGCCTGATAAGAAGTTATAATCAAGCAATGTCCAACAAGCCAGAACATTTTTCACCTACCTTTTCCCATGTGCCTGTACAACAACACTATTTCTTTCAGGTGTGAGACTTGCAGAATTAGACTTCAATTTCTGTTTAAAAACAACCAAAGAATAAAATGCAGCATTACAGCAAAGTCACAATATTCTGTTTTACTTAATAAGCAGGAGGCAGAAAATCTCAGTCACAGAAGAAGGAGACTAAGACTTTGGGAATTTTCTTGTTCAAGTTTGTCAGGCTCTGAAGTAACAGGTAAATAAGGAACAAGGTTTCTTTTCCCACACTGAATTTCCAGCTCTGGGTGAAGGAATTCCCCACCACATGATCACTAAGACTTTAAAATCAAGACTTAGTATTTCATGCCCTCCTTTAACTAATTTTGCTTTTAAAACCAGTTATAATTTGGAACCCTCTTCCTAGATGTTTTTTAGCTTTTGTTTCATTAAAACCCATCAAGAACTTAGATATTCAAAAAAATAGAGTTTTTGAAAGGTTTCTTATTTGCTGCACACAGAAGAGTTTATTTGAATTCTAGAATATGAGAACTCTAGTTCCTGAATGGGAAGTTCTAGGGATATAAAATGATAAAATGATACAAATTTACTGGCATAATTCTCTCTCCTTCATATGTATAGAAGTATTTTTTGTTGGTTCAGATTTAGTCACTTTGTAAAAAATCAAAGACAAACAAAACAAAATCAATGTCACCCATGAACATAAGGGAATCTGCAGGAGGTTATGAAGTGTAAGTAACACCATTTTCTACTGCTGATACCCAAATGAATATCAATTTTCAATGCCTTCTATCACTGTAACTGTCTTGAGAATGTAAACTTGCAGCTTCATCTCCATCTCCTGCTGGGAAGTGAGAGGATATTTGTAGAGAATACAAAACGGGGAGCAGCGGTTGGTGCATCAGATGACTGAGCTGCCATTAAGAGGGACCTCACATGACTTCCAGAAATGGGATGAGAAGAATCTCCAAGTTCAGCTAAGGTGAAATGCAGACTCTACCCCAGGGGAGGAATAATCCTTATGCACAGAACACCATGTGGGCTGGCCAGGCAGAAAGCATCTTTGCAGAGAGGGCTGTGGGAAGTTCCGTCAATATCAAGCTGACCATGAGCCAGCAATGCGCCCTTGCAGCACAGAGGGCCAACAGTGTCTTGGGATACATCAGGAGGGGTGCTGCCAGCATGTCCAGGCAGGTGATCCTTCCTCTCTACTCAGCACTGATGAGACAGAATCAAGAATCATTTCAGCTGGAAGGGACCTTCCCCTGCTGAAAACAGGATCAGTTTCAGCAGCTTGCCAAGGACTGTGTGCAGCTGCATTTTGAACACCTTCACAGACTGAGACTCCACAACCTCTCTGTGAAGATTGTCCCTGTGTTTAACCACCCCCACAGTAAGAAAAGTGTTTTCTTGTGTACTGATGGTATTTTGTGTGTTCCAGTGTATGCCCATTGCCTCTTGTCCTGTCACTGGGCACTTTGGAGGAGAGTCTGGCCTGTCCTTTACTACACCCACAGCTCTTTACACGCATTGATAGGATCTCCCTGGAACCTTCTCTTCCCCAGACTGAACAGCCCCAGCTCTCTCAGCTGCTCGTCATATGACAGGCATTTCAGTCCTGTAACCATCTCCATGGCCTTTGCTGGAGGCTCTCCAGTAGCTCCATCTCTCTCTTGTATTTGAAGACCAGGACAGGTCACATTCCTCTAGACTGGACCTCACAGACATGTCTGGAGCACTATGCCCCATACAAAAGAGGCATGGACATAATGGAGTGGGCCCAGGAAAGGACCATGAAGGTTATTAAGGATTTAGACCATCTGACAACCAGGTAGCAGCTAAGAGAGTTGGAATTGTTTAGCCTGGAGGAAACAATGGTCAGGAGAACCTTATGAAGGTATGCCAGGGAGAAATAAAGAAGACGTAGTCAGAGTCCTCTCAGTGGGATCACTGACAGGAGAGGCAATGGGTGCAAACTGAAGTACAAGAATTTCCACTCAAACATACAAAAAATCTTTATGACTTATGAGGGTGGTCAAACACTGGAACAGGCTACTTAGAGAGGCTGCAGTCTACATCCTCAGGGATAACTGAAAGCCATTTGGACACAGTCCTGGGCAACTGGCTCTAGGCAGTCCTGCTGAAGCAGGTGGTTGGACCAGATGATCTCCAGAGGTCCCTCTCCCAACTGTGACCATTCTGTGATTCTGAGCATTGACACTGTGCTCTATTCTGAACTAGCATGTCTTTTAATTTCCCCTTATTGCCTAGGTAAGTACATCTCTCCTGCTCCTCACAGGATTACTGCATTTTCCTTTCTGTTTTATTTTCCAAGTTTATTCTACAGCTTGTTTTCATTCATGTTTTGCTTTAAAAGTTTTAGCTTATGGTGCTTTTACTTCCCTTGTTGAACCTGACTTGTTCTGAATTTCTGCAAACCCCTACTCACCGGAGGTGTTTTGGTAAAGCTGCTGTCATTACAGATTTCATCAATAATGTCATCCAGATCTTCTTTGCTGCTGCCAGCACTCATTAACACTTTAGCTGATCTGAAAAATAAATAAATCAGCCTTTATTTTTGTAGCAAGATTATAGCAATTGTAAGAACTGTGAGTTAAAAAATACAAACAGTTACAGCCTTTTCCCCCTAATATATTTTTGTAGTATCTCAGGTAAGCCATCCAAATAATGACTAAACAGATGTAAAGTGCAGGATAACACCTTTCAGTGACTGTTGAATTGTCCCATCATAGGTCTTATTTTTGCTTGCTTCTTTTATTTCCAACCACACCCAACTGTGAATAAAACCAGGACAGTATAACCCCTGCTACACTTACGGGGCAATTAACTGGACAACCCTGATTTTTCACATTTAGCTTCAGCAACAGGAATATGATAAGGTCAGAGGAAGGTCACTACTCAAGCTACACAGCTGCAGGGGTCCTGAAGAGAATTCCTGCAGAACTGGATGCATTTAGAAAGATCACCTGCACTTTGCTTTTGCTCAAGTAACACTCAAGTCTGCTGTTTGTTAGCTCTTTGTCAAAGAAAGAGGCCTGTAGTACTGCTGCATTAACCAATCAAGAACAAATCTACTCCTGAGAAAGAAGAAAACTGTGTAATTGTTTTTCCAAGAGTGTAATTAGATTGACTAAAGTTAAGTGCTCATCTAGCCATTATGCAAACAATGTGGAAGTCCAGTAATGCGGTCAAAGGTGCTGGTCTTGCATTAGTCATTGGATTCTTCAAGATCCTTTCCTGAGACTCTGAAATGTGTGTTGGGTAAGTGCTCAGCAGCCCATCTGAGGAGACATCTGGCCAAGCCTCTCTGGTCCACAGACCTTCCAGAGGGAGTCTGAGATGCCTGTGAGGGCTGGGATGTAAACTTGATGGTCAGGATGGAAACCCAAGGGCAGGCAAAGATGCCTGTCAGGGCCAGGATGGAAACTTGATGTCTGGGATGGAAGCCTGAGGGCAGGCTGGGATGTCAGACACCGAATGCTTGGCAGTACTGTAAGCAAGGACCAAACTTGCAAAACCACCATTTTGAAAGTTGTGGAATTTGAGGCAGATACCTCAAAGCGTAGCATGTAAGTGCTTACTGTAGTGGATATGGTTAATAAAGTATGAACAGAAAAATTATGAACAGAAAAAACCGACCAGAGAGAAGAGCATGAAGCTGTGTCAGGGGAGGTTTATGCTGGATATCAGGAAAAGGTTCTTCACCCAGAAGGTGTTTGGGCAGCAGAACAGGTTCCCCAGGAAAGTGGTCACAGCACCAGCCTGACAGAGCCCAGGAAGCCTTTGGACAATGCTCTCAGGCACATGGTGTGACTCTTGGGGTGTCCTGTGCAGGGCCAGGAGCTGGACGTCCATGATCCTGGTGTGTCCCTTCCATCGCAGAATATTCTGTAATTTCAGTGAAATGACTGAAGTATCAAGAGAATAAAAACTTGGATAATGCTATAGCTAAAGTTCTTCCTGCTCTAAATCGTGAGATTTATGGATATTTGAGGTCAGTTGTATATAGAAAGGTTATATTATAAGGTCAGTAACAGAGCCAAGTAATCCCCAACCCAGAAGGCAAACCAGCGCAGCTTTTAACGCCATTTTTAATCCAAGGTTGCGGTACACGCAGGAGACAAAGCCTGCCTGAAATAACTAAACTCGCTGGCACACGATCTGGGTCTTTCACAACACGGGCTGCAGGTGACACTGGCCGACAGCCGGCCCGGTTCCGGCTCCTGAGCCCGCCTGTTTTGGGTTTTTGATAGGCCGGGCCGCACGGGGCAGCCGGGGACGGGCTCCGCTCCACCCAGGGGCGCCTCGCCCGGCGGGGAGGGGTGTGCGAGGGCGGCGGGACCGCGGCGGGAGCGCTAACCTGCCCTCCTTGGCCGCCGCGGGCTGCTCCTGGCCGCCGCCGCCGCCGCGCCGGTGGCACAGCCGCCTCTCCACCTCGTCCAGCAGCCGGTCCAGATCGTCCGCCATCTTGCCGCCCCGCGGTTGCCAAGGCGGCCCCGGCAGGGGCGGGGTCTGCCCGACCGCCCGGCCGGGTCGGGAGCGGCTCTGGAGCTCCTGCGGGCCGCGGCTGCCGCCCCGCTCCGCCGCTCCCGGGATTCGGCAGCGAAAAACGGGGAAGGGAAGAAAAAAGAAAAGGACAAAGCCACGGGGCCGCGGCCGTAGTCGGCAGGATTCGAACCTGCGCGGGGAGACCCCAATGGATTTCTAGTCCATCGCCTTAACCACTCGGCCACGACTACGCATGCTGCGAGTGTCCTCGCCGCCTTGTCATGACTGGTTACGGAAAAGACGCGTGGTTAGAGGTTAAACTTAAATGCGTCTGTCATACAGTTCACTGCGCTGGATATTGGTCTGTTTAGAGCACAGCTAAACGGTTCGGATTTGCTAAGTACCGCGGGAGAAGCCTGGTTTTGTTTTTTTAAATTTTTTGTTTTGTTTTGTTTTGTTTTGGCGTAGATTAGGAACAGTTGTGGAGAGAGTGGCCTCAGTCCCCTTAAAAGCAGGATCACTCCCCAGCTGGCATCCCCCATAGCGCCTGGGAAATGGGGGCAGGCATTTTTGAGGAAAACCCCATAAATGTGGCTCTCACTTATGTCCCTGATAATAAATCCGGACAAACGTGGGAGGTGTCAGTCACCAGTCTGCCAAGGCCAGCTCCCCCTTCCCTCTCGTCAGAGACACGCGGGAGGGGAGATGTCCCGAGGTGGGTCCAGAGTGTCAGTCAATGCTGCATAGTATGATTTTTTTTAGAAATATAATGAAGCAATTGAGAGAGAGAGAGGTCCTGTTGAGCTAAACAGAGCATTGCCATCCTTAGGTCAGTTGAGACGGAAAGCACGGTGCTTGTGCCCTCCTGTTGCCAAGATGGCTCAAGATTTCCCAGCCTGTGATGCGGTGGGGTCTGCTGTCCTTAAGAGCTCCAAGCAAAGCCTCTCGGTAACAAGGTATTTTACAATTCTCTGTGTATTTCAATTAATGAGTTGCAAGCCCTGTCTGAATTCCCTTGTACTTAAGCATTTATTTCATTGTTCCATTTTCCTCCCCACATATCTCAGGTCACTGTTAATACCCTGCCTGACCCATGGCAGTGCTGCTGGGGGAAATGGGTTGGGTAGAAGAGTTGTGAGCTTTTGCTGGGTTGATGTGATGGAAGAAACTAAATAGCATTGATGCTGCTCCAGCTCTTTTAAGTGGTCCCTTGGCCAGGACTCTGTGTCATGTAGGTAAATTCAATCCAGAAGAAGTGGATTTTTGGGTGGAATTTTTACATTCATCTCTTGCAGCTGTGGAGAGTTTAAACTAATCACAATTCTCCCCAGTATGCTATCATCTCTGTAATTTGAAAAAGGATCAGGAGCCCACAGGCTTGGAAAATCTTGAAGAAACTCTTGTCCTGAAATACATCATCACATGTGGAAAAGACCACTTGCTGCATCATCTTAAAGGAGCTTAAGAATGCCGAAATCCAGTATCATTCTGGCATTCTTTCAAATGGCTTTAGAAATCTGAGTACATTCTCTTTTGACTGCACAACAGCTTCTTTCCCTTTCCATCAATCCTGTGGCTGTCAGTGTATCTGTTGCAAGGTGCCAAAAATGTATGGAGTGTCTATGGGATGATGGTGCCAAAGTCAGGGGTGCCTCGAGGCCTTCTCCCATGAACTCGTTGCAGCATTTGCTCAGTTGGAAAGCATTTGAAACCAAAAAGAAAATGAAAAAAAAAAAAAAGAAAAAAGGCACAGACCTTTAAAAATTGTTGAACTGAAAAGACTGGCTTTGTGCAGATTGCTGCCTGCTGTTTAGATCCTTGTCGTTCAAAACTTCTGAAAGGCCTGATGCAATCAAAGAGGCTTACTGGGTCAAATTGATTCCAGACTAGTCCCTGGAATCACACAGAGGTGAATCTGACATACTGGGCCTTCAGCTAAGCTGTGGCCAGACAAAAGGAGTTGAGGTCATGCCCTGAATTTTGTCCTCTCTTAGAAAACCAGTGAAGTGGCCTTGCTCAAATCATGTCTCCTACTGACTGCTTGGGTGCAAATAGAAAGGTTACTGATTACTGATTGCTGAGGGCTGCAAAAGTACAGAATGACCACTTTGATGATGATGGCTTCTTTCTCTCTCTCTCTCTCTTTTTTTTTTTTTTTTTTTTTTTTTTTTTTTAATATTGTCTCAATATATCCTTAGGAAGAGAGGACAGAAAGCTGGAAGGCTGTCATGGGTGGAAGCCATAATGTTCTCTAATCCTCAAGCTACTGAAAGCTTTCTCAGTGATGCTGATAAAACTGGATTTTGCCACAACAGTGATGAAGACAAAAAAAAAATTTCTAGGGCAGGATGGGCTGAAAAAAAGAGAAAAATTTTCTCTTTTCTCTGGGAACCAAAGTGAGGCTAAATTGAGGTTGACTAGAACTCTTCTCAGCCCTCTTGTCTGAGCAATGAACTCCAGGGGGCTCAGATAATGGTAAGAGGACAGCAGAGCCAGACAATGCCAAAGTCATTTCTGAGTGCTACCCATTGCCAGACAAGAGGGAATTGATTGCAGGGAGGCACTCTGCTTCTTGATATGGTGATAGCATGTTGCAGGCCTTTCTGCCTTCCAATCTCTTGCCCCAGAAGTTGGGATGGAGGTAATGCAGTGACTGCCACTCCCCAAGGTGTTCTGCCACCTCCAGCATATGTAGAACTGTACAGCTCGTTGCTCCCAGCTGCAGGATATTACTTTAATCCTGTTCCTTGTCACAGTTCAGTATAACATCATTTTGAGTGACACTTCTTATTTCCTATTAGTAGTACAGTGCATCAACATGAGAAAATTCAGGGCGAAATCTAGATTTTTGGCCACATATTTAACCACTAGCAAGCATCCCTGTGAATGAAATTTTTCTGCTAAAGATACCACATTGGGAGACAGTTTCTTGAAAAACCTCTTGGCAGCAAAACTAACAGTATATGCAAGATTCCTCATATAACACTGGCTTGTGATGTTGAGAGACAGCCTGGGATCAAAGGACAGTTTAAGCTGGAGGCTATCCCAGTCTTGGACTAGACTGTCAATCCTTCCATTGAAGGTGCCAGCTCAGAGGGTGGATTTTCAGTTCAGTTTGCTGGCACATGAGGGGCATGAGGACTGGAAAAACTTCCAGTTGCTTCCAACCTTCCTCTCCATTAAAAATTTCAAGGTTAGAGTATGTGAGCAGCCACCACCTGTTCCCTGGGCTACACAGTTCTCTTGTAAAGGAAACTATTTGTGAAGAACAGGTAAGTGTCCAAAATGGCAATCTTAGCCCTTGCTGTGAGGGGTCAGCTTCCTTTTGGATGTTTGTAAGCATACATGCTCATTTTCAAATGAGTATGATGTGGTGCTTACCAAGAGAAGTAGAAGATTTTTCAGGACAGTATACAAAACAAAAAAATACTTGTCTGGGGGCCTTTTAATGAACATGGCATAATCCTCAAAGCTTCTTATAACCATGAGATTTTGATCTCTGTGAGGGCATAACAAACACTGGAAAGTTTTTTTTTGAAAAAACCTGTCAGCTTGTAAGGCTATGTAACAAGGAGGTCACACTTCCAAATCAATGATAATTATGTGTAACTTTGAGTAAAAATGGTGTTGCCAGGCACTGTGCAGCTTTACTGCACCTGCATTCTCTGGCACCAAGGGTGTCAGTCCCTGTAAAGTGGAGCAGAGGGAGGCACATGGTGATAAAGCAGGTCAGTGCAGAGAACATGTCACAAGGTAAAAATGTTTCCATTCAACAGATAGAAATAACAAGTAGTAGTAAATATAAGATAATTGGCCTGCCAGGAAGGACCTGGGCTATGAGAATGTGAGTAGGAAGGAGAAAGCATCAAGCACAGAGGACTGGGGACTTCTGTGGAAAAATCCTTCCTGCTTGCTGCCCATTGCACAGCTGTGGTGAGAGACCACATCATGTAAAACCAGCCTAGCTGAGGGAGCTGAAACCAAAGCAGAGATAGTGTTACATCACCCTTGCCAAGGCTGGAAAATATTTTTTCAGGGATGATTCTCCAGAAGAGTTGTGAGCTAGGAAAAGCCATCCCCTAAGCCACAAGGGCATGGTGTGAGTGTACATGTGGGAGTGAAGGTGCTGTTTGTGTGAAGTCCACACTAGTATCCTGCTCCTCAGTGGGGCTGATTCAGATTTTTCTTCCTGAGGCTCCAGGATACTGCATCTCAGAGGGAGACAGATGTGACAGCTGGCAGGGCTGGTGTTGTCACACATCAGGTTCCAGGAACACTCCTTTATTTCCCTGCATAGCAGTGCACTTTGTTTCACTGCATAGCTTCCTTTTCTCAGTACAAGAATCCTGGTGAATGAAAATATATGTTAGGCAGAATCACACCTGTATGATATGAATGCCGTTTGCATTTTGTACAGACTTTAACAGTTAAAAGATTTAGAAGAATGGCAAGAAGAACAAAGACTTTTTCAGGTGAAAGCTTCTTCATAAAACCTCTCTCTAGAGCTCAAATGCTAAAAAGAGATCTTCATGTCTCTGAGTAATGAAGTTTTCATTTGGACTTGAAATAAAGTGGTTTTTTACCAGTGCAGTTTTCAAAAGGAAAAATGTTAAAGGGCAAAGTGAAAATTAAAAGCTAGGACCTCACTGATTTCAGCAGGGTCAGGATTTCGTGCAAGAAGGTGAAAATCCAGTCCATCTCATTGCAAATATCTGTTCCTTGCTGGAGGATGGAAACTGGTAGCTCTCTTTCCAGCTCTGGCTGCATCTCCCAGCAGAGGGCATTGCAGAATGACATTAGTGTTCTTCAGCAATCTGGCAGAAGGTAAACTGAACTTCAAGGGGTTGTTTGGCCAGTCTGAAATTTATTTTCATGACCTGAACTGGAAGAGTAGATCATCAGTCGTTTAAAACCAAATGATGCTGCTAGCAAACTGTAGCTGGAAGATAAAAGGAATTTTTCCTTGCACTCCAAAAAAC